TAACAACCACTACAGTAAAGTGTTGGGTTAAGTCAAACATTCTTTTCTGTTTCATAAATATGGAAGCTTAATAACTCATTTGGCTTTTTTGAGAGTAGCGTGTTCTTGTACATATGTAACATATTCATTCATGTAGTTTTGATCATCTTGAAACAACAACCTAAATATTGTATCTTTCCTACATTATATTGTTCCAGCTCAATAAAACAGAAGATTCACTTTTAGCTGCTTATTCATTGTTCCCTCAGGAAATATATATATAAAAAAAGCCTTTTTGATTTGAATACACCTTAATGGATAGAGGAGCTTTCTTTCCATAACCAAATGCTTGTCTATTGATATGGAAAAAATATCACACTTTAAAATGTATAACATTTACATCAGCTCATATACTGTATATAATGAATGCACCTTGCAAACATAAATAGATAAATAGATAAATAAAAAAATAAATAGATGACCGAGTGTGGATTCTGGTATTAGATTTAAATAATAGGTTAGTGCCACTTACTTCATCACCATATATAAGGTACTTAAGATTTTAATTCATGCTTGAATTCATTCTTTATGCAACTTTTAGGTTGAATAACTTCATATGTTATACATTGCTAATGGTTCTAGCCGTGTTCACTGTCGGATTTTGACATATGTTTTGGTAGTATTTGTTTCCATCAGGAACAGGTCGTCTGATTTCTCTTTTTTATATATAAATATAAGCCGTGGTCTAATCTACTTGATGGTGAAAAGATACAGTGACCTAAGTGATATTCCTCTACTACAACATGTGACAACACCACTAGATGTCGCTGGATATTGCACACTGTACCTATAAATGTTTCACTCAAATGTAGAGTCGGGGCAACAAAATTAATTTCTTTACTTTTCCAAAAACTGACTCTAACGTAACAAATTCAACTTACTTTTGTTGCGACTGGTGTCACTAGATGGCACTAGAGCACCAGCAACTCTCTTCCTCTGTGGCCCTCGCTTTCGTCTCAGTCAACAATACGTCAATGGAGGATTTTCTTTCGTAGGAGCCTTATGGGAAATGAATGAAGTCACCTAAATAAAAAGGCAGGTGTAATTAACATGATGCACTATTAATTGCATCTGCCACACAGTGGGTGAAGGGCGTCAGGATGAGGTCGCACTTTTTTTTTAAGTCGAGATCTTAAATCAGAGTGTGACACCATGCCAGGTGTCCAGAGGACAGGTCCGAAATGTCCAATAGTGTGCAGAGACATTAGTATGACCTGTTTCAAAACAAAACAATGTGAGAAAGGGTCCTGTTGAAATCTGGATCAGCTAATGCTTAGAAGACAAGTGAAATTATATAATAATAAAAGCAAATATTAATAAAAATAAAACACTATATTGCACTAGTGACTGCATTAATAATCCAGCATGAGATGAAGGTGCATCCTGAATATTTAGACTTTGGGTAGTTCATTTGGCAGGCATATGCTAAGCAACCAGCTCAGGAACAAACTGCCATTTAGCTGCAATCCCACCACTGACTTGGTTGGTTGTAAGGTCAGCCTGTATCCACTGAAGCACCCCCTGAACCATAAAATGTCTATATACAGTCTCAATTTAAATACATGCAAGAGAAAAAAAGACACAACAACAAACAACAACAGTGGACAAATACAGTAAAACATAGTTATACTATGTTTTTTCTTAAGTATAAATGGAAAATATTGAAGCCAAAAACGTCCTTAAAAAGGCCTTTTATATCACAAGGTGAAAACGTCTCTCCAGTGTAAGAAACAACAAAATGCCTTCTGTTTACTAGACACAGATGGAAATGTGAGTTTCATCTTAGGTCTAAAAATAGTCTAATAACCTTCTGAGGATAAAGACAAAATCATGCCAAAAGCACTGACAGGGAAGGATAACACTAAACTGAAAGGGGGGTGGGGGGGGCTTCAGCTCTTATTTAAGGGAATTCAAGTTCTCAATGTGGCATTAATGGCTGCAACAAAATATCTTTGTCCACATAGATTATTTAGATTTAGATTTTAATTAAAGATTTTTAATTTAGTCCAGAAAACACAGAAGTAGTGGATGTCATTCTGGATGGTAGAAGTCGCTGCCTACTATCACTTGTGATTAGGTTAAATGGTCATCAATGAACAATCAGCTATTGATTATCCCATTGATCCTAATCATGTGCCTAATAAAGCTGAAGTGAGCAGTGTAAGTCACACTCTGCCCAGGATTCCTTTTCACCAGCAGCACAGCTGCGAACATGAGGACCGCGACTGACTGACTGTGGATGGTAGACAACACGAGGTGCAGTTAACAATGTTCAAAAACATCAATTTACTTTTTTTCTTTAAATCTAAAGCAACAGTAAATCATTTTACCTCAGATATTGAATTACAAATTGAATAGAGCTCGCAAAGAAGCTTACATAAATATCACACCACACAGTCCTGTGGGAATGGATGAATTAAATGTGACGGGAGTGGGAAAAACCACTGGAGTCACCACTGACAATGGCACTGTCACTTCATATAGTCAGTCCCAATAGAAATACTGCAGGATTTTCATCCTGGTGAGGTTTTTTTTTAGTTGGGTTGAAGGTGAAATATTCTAGAAAAAAGGGAAAAGGAAGTCTTACAATAAAAGAAGCAACACAGATTATTGTTTTGATTATTTAGACCAAATGTCTGATGTCTGCGGCCACATAAGGGCTCTGGCACATTTTTTGTCTCACCAAAAACATTAGTTATTTTATTTAACCCCTGGTTCTTATTAGATTTTTACAGAGTTTAGTTGAGCACTAACATAGGAACTGAAGAAGCCTCTTGGATTGAAACGTCTTCTTTTAGAAAATTCACGTCCAGTTGCCTAACAGAACTTTTAAACTTAAGCATGACCTGGATGACTGAGAATCTTCATGGTCACTATTATACTAATATAATATTATTTTATATAAAGTTGATCACATGAATAAGTCAACACAGTAAGGTTTCAGACCAGCCATTGGTTTGTGGATTTAAAAGAAATCTCCCACATGACAGAATCAACTACATCACTGGTTTAGCATGGTGCTGAGCTGTGTTTCTGTGCACAACTGACAATGTTGCAACAAAACCTGACATAACACCTTGTTTTGATAAATAAACAACCAAAAGAAATCTTTCCATAGCAAAAAAAAAAAAGTGTTCCAGAATTTATACTAATCTATCCGTCTTGATTTAAAGCTAATCCTCTCACCCCCAATACCTTCGTCTTTCACTTTTAGTTTACAAATTATTATTTTTTCTTGGTACTACTTTCTTGTGAATACAGAATTGCTCTTGTGTATATCTGCATGCATCTATTTTAAACAGAGTTTCTAGATATTTGACCTTTGAGATTTGACAAAGAGGACATGCACAAGGTGAATTTCAACAAAATTAGCTGTTACAAAATACTAATGCTAGGATATTTATCAACCATGGGAGAGGAGGAACAGCTGATATTAAATATCAGTCACATTGAGTTCATAAACAATCAATTTAAATGGTGTTTATAAACATTTTCGTTTATCCCCTTTTCAGTTGTTTTGGTGTAGTATTGTTCGTGGTCTGACCTCCTACAAAAATATTGGTGTGAAATATTTATGAGTAAATATGCATCAGAAAGTGTGAAACCAGTACCTCATCAAAAAAAAACAAGAAACAAATCACATTGGGGCTGCATTAAGCCCCTCCATGGACCACCATCAGCCCTTGTACCCCATGTTGGTAATCTCTAATTTAACCCTGGATTAAAGAGGTGTTTTTTTTTCTCCAGCCAAGGCCATGCAGTCGATTTAAAGGCATGCAGCCTGGGGCAGAAAAAAACACAGCACTGGCACATAATCTTCCATTCATCAAGCCTGGTTTTCTCTCCACCATTAATTCCACGCAGACGAATGGGCTTGAAGCAAAAGGCAGATTTTTTTTTCTTTTAGGCAGAAGACACAGGAGCAGGAGCAGAGGAAGGGGAGAAATTTAAAAGACAGTTAAGCCTCAACGTTGGAAAAAAGCTGTTTAATATCAACCCCATTATTTAAAAATGTGCAAGTCCCGTTTGTTCATGTGGCAAGTGATGAAACACCTACAGGCATCTTTTCCTCTGCGCAAAATCCAACCCAAGTTCATCCAGTGAATGTGACTGACATAGACCAACCCCACAAACCGTCCAAAATAAAATAGAAAATAAAATACTAATAAATGACAAGCAATTGAAAAACCAAAGCCAGAAAACCGCGCTAAATTGCTACACATCCACGTCCAACAATTTAAATTTCCAGTGAATTATGACTTGGGTGAATTTATTTATTAAAGCTACTGAGGAAAAAAAATACACATTTCAGTGCCATATAATCGTTTCTGTTGGAGGAACGAAGAAAAAGCAATTTCCACACGAGAGAGGGAGAGAGAGAAAGAAAATGAATCTATGTCTTTGCATAAAATAAAACCAGCTACCGTGCGTAAAATGGAGCTTTGACGGTCCAGGCTGTGCCAATCCCGCTGAATAATAATATTAATAATAATGGTGAAAATAAAAAAAAAATATAAATGTCCCCATACTCCTTTCTACAAAAAGCAGACACTGTCATTTTCATAAAAAATCTCCCTCGTTGTGCCTATAAAACAGAATAAATTACAATCTCATTACCAAAACAAACCAAACCGGAAATACAAATAAAATTAGAAACTAAAAACTCCTCTTCCCCCGTAACAATAAAGCAGAACAGAGAGACAAAATGTCTGAAATGGAACGGCTACCAATAATAATAATAATAATAATAATAATAATAATAATAATAATAATAATAATAATAATAATAATAATAATATGTAATCTCCAATTGATTTTAAATACATTTAAAGAGCATTGTAAAATGTATTATTATTATAACAAATATATATTTTATGCTTTGTATTATTATTATTATTATTATTATTATTATTATTATTATTATTATTATTATTATTATTATTCGCTTTTTCTCAAAGCCAATAATACTGACTTGTTTTCGACTGACTTGTGCTCCATCGTTTACGTTATCAATTCATCTGAGTTCAGCCGTTAAAGCATATTTAATGTTACATAATGGGAAACACAATCTGATGTAATTTCACAGCGGACTGAAAATATACGGAAGAGAAACATTATTTGAAATTGAAAAAAATACGTGTGGAAATCAATCCGTGAAACGAGCGTCATTTTCGACATCACATTGAGAGAAACGTTAAATAGCAACAACAAACACAAGGCAGCAGGAAGGCTGTGAATGAAAAGAAGATTTAGAAAATAAAAATGCTGGCTTTTGAAAACATCAAATTCAAAAAAGTGCCCCAGTGAAGTAACGACAAAATAACGAGTTAGAGAAAAGAAAGAAAAACGGGGGGGATCATGAAGCCATGACTTTCAAAAGTTATACAATATTTACAAAAGTGGATCCCAAATGTTCTGAGAGAGTTTAACTGACATATATAATCTCTGTAGATATTTATTTCATTCGTGTGTAGCCCATTCTTTTTGGGGGGAGTGGGAGGGGTAAAAAGTGCAATTTATATGATCCAATCAGTCGGTTAAAGGAACATTTGAATTTCTTGGGGTTTTTTTTTAATCGTTTGTCAGTTTTCCATTGAATTTTAAGGTTTTTCATTATTTGGCTCAAGGGCAGAGGTCGAAGCTGCAGTTAGGCCATTTATTAAGGAGTTATTTTGTAATAATAATAATAATAGCAATGATAATAATAATAATAACAATAACAATAATAATACTAATCGCAGTTATAAATAAGAGCTGATGGCCTGCAGCTTCACAGCAGCGTCTCTCTGCTGCTTGCCTGACAGATGGGACTCGGGACGATGCTCAGCCTCAGCTGGACTCCACTGGACTGTGGGCTGCAGCCTTTTACTTTCCTTCACTGGCCCCCAGTTTACTCCATTAACACAGCTCCTTTGACCCCCCACTGCGCCTTCCATCCATCCACCCACCATCCATCCACCCACTGCTGGACGCACCATTATGGACCGTAAACAAACAACTAAAAAACGCCTCTGTCTTGCCTTTCCTCCTTTTACGCACAGGAAAATGTAGGAGATTTAATTATTTTTTAGGCTTTAAAATGGAAACCATTCACCATGCCATCCTCTCCTTTCTCTCTCTCTTTTGTTGTTTTTGTCATTTCAATACACGATGGGGGGCTACACCTGGAAACTGCGTCGAGTGTAGTCACAGTGCTGGGCTTGTATCCTCGGCTTGTGTTCCTTGAAGAGGAGAGGGGGGAAAACAAATGTCCTGTCCTCTCCTTCACTCTGTTTCCCACGGAATTCACTGCAGATATTGTGTAAATACTCACTGCAATCTAGTATACATAAAACACCCACTATATTGTTTCATAGTCCAGTGATTTATATATAACCTTAGGGATAAATAATAAAAAATGGATAAACAAGTCCTGGAGGAGCGGTCCAGGCTCAATGGAGTTCACTGGACCGGGGTCTGGACCCCGTGGTGCGGCGGCGTGTCCCCGTACACATCCTCGCTCCCCGGCAGCGCTCCTCCAGGAGGTGTCATGCGTTTCTCCTTCTGTCTCCTGTTACAAAACCAAACCCTCACCACTTCTTTCTCCAGGTGCAGACTGTCCGCCAGGTTGATTATTTCCGACGCTGCCGGCTTAGGGCACTTCAAAAAATGGCTCTCCAAAGCTCCCTTTACGCTCACCTCGATGGAGGTCCGTTTTTTCCTTTTTCTCCCCTGCGCGGCGATTTTGTCTAGGCTGGTGGGGCTGCCCGAGGTGGAGTCCGCCTCTTCCAGCCACTTGTTCAACAGAGGCTTCAGCTTGCACATGTTTTTGAAGCTGAGCTGCAGGGCCTCAAACCTGCATATTGTGGTTTGGGAAAAGACATTTCCGTACAGGGTCCCCAGGGCGAGTCCCACGTCCGCCTGCGTGAAGCCCAGCTTGATCCTCCTCTGCTTAAACTGCTTGGCGAACTGTTCCAGGTCGTCCGAGGTCGGCGTATCCTCGTCCGAGTGGTCGTGGTGACTCTGCGGCCGGTGCTGGTGCTGATGCTGGGACTGAGGGTGGCCGTGGTCGCTGAGGTGCGGGCTGTGGTGCTCGTCGTGGCTGTCTCTAAGGTTGTGGTGGTGCATGCCGTGCGCGCTGCTCGGGATCAGCCCGTTGACGCCAAAGCCCGGTTGGGAGTAAATAAGGCTCTGGCCGTTGGTCGTCGCCATAGTCTGTATGTGCGCCGCGGTTGTGGTTCTCCACGCCCGGCTGTCGTGGTGGTTCCCGTGCGTCTGGTGCACAAGGTGCTGCGCCCGCGCCTGGTGCTGTAAGTTGCTGCTGGAGTTGTGCATTTCGTCCCGCGCTGCCTGCACAGCGGGCTTGATGTCCTGCTCCGCGCCGAGCGGGCTGGAGGACCACGGTGCGCCCTCTCCATGGGACAGCGCCGTGATCCACTGGTGCGCGTGGCTCAGCGTGTGGCTGTTGCTCTGCAGCGGGTAGTCGCCCTGCAACAGGCTCTGCGCGTCCCGGTACGCCGTGGCTTGCTGCATGTTGCCAGGCTCCGAGTGCACGATGGATGCGCTGGAGGTGAGGATGTTGTAGTGGTTAGACGCTGCGGTCGCCATGACTCTCGGAGCCGGACTGGTCGCTCTTATTAAATGAACCTCGCATTTGACAGATCCTCTCCTGCCCACAGGCGGCTCCCAGGCGCTCTGCCAGGAGAACGCTGAGGCGCACCTGGACCCTGCTCCGCCTCCCACCGATGATTGGACACGAGAGGATGATGGACGTCGTCACCAAGGGCAACGGCGCAGCGATTGGCTGCAAAGAAACATCAACAAACACCAGTGTCTTTGTGGGAGAGGTGCGGGATGAGGATCCTGTGGACGCGGAGAGCCCGAGCGCAGCATGGAGAGACGGAGCAGCCGGATGAGCAGAGCAACTGTAAGATACAGGAGTTTTACTTTGATCATCGTCGTCATCTTCATCATCATCATCAGGCTGTAGGTAGAGTCCAAACCCAGGAAACCTGCAGGTCTTCTCTAACGACAACATGTGTATCAAAGTGTGAGTTTTGGGGGCAGCTCTTGAAAAATTAGTTGACTATTTACACAGTTATAATGCGAGAAATTAAAACAGCGGGTAAAATTCAGGAAAATTGCAAAAAGTGATTATTGTCAGTTGTAAATAAAAGTATGAAGAACTGCAGTAACTGTCAAATGTACAGTACAGTGTGTATCCGTCAGTCCTGTGGATTTAGAGTTTGTGTCATTAGGATTTGTAATTGAGAGTGCATATTAATGAGATAATGTTTTTATGCAGAGTGTGTTTGTGGAACAAACACGTCAGTTTTACCTCTGATATGTGAAAAACATATGTGAAAAAATTCAAACAAAATAAGCGGAAATTTGTTTTTGTTTTTCCAGCATTTTTCAAAAGATAATTCTAATCCCTAATGAATTGCTAGTAAATCGTTAATATTTATTTACTTAACTCAAAACCCATAAAAAGGAATTGAAGTAAAATAAAATTAGAAACTATGTTTAGTTAATAACTAAATCAATTTAATGTAAAACTGAATGCAAAAAACATGTTGTTCGTTTATCGTAAGGGAAAAGGTTTTTTGTAAAATCTATTTTTACAACAATTTTTTAACTTAAAATGCTACTCGATTTCTACAGTAAATTTTAAATTTACACTTCTTTTCCCAGTAAGACTGTAAGGTAACGCCATAGTTGTGTTTGTACAAGAAAGTACAGAAAGAGTACAGTACACCAACATTAGAGACAGTGTAAACATAAATAAATAATAAATAAAAGCATATATAACAACGTAAATAATACATCTATTGAGGTTTTTCATATTATAAAGTGTTGTTAATTAAAATCATTTGAGTTTCACGTGATTCATAGTACTATGAAAACAGTAAACATTGTATTTAATTGATCCTTCACAACAAATGTAAAACAATTATGACCAGAAATTATTTATGACAATAAAAACAATCTTTGTCATGCAGAGGAAAAAACACCAACTATTTGATTTAAAAAAACAAATATTTGCAGAAACACTACAATTCTATTATGTTTAGGTTTCATTTAATAATTGCATTTGCACAACATTCTTTTGGATTCGACTCCCTGGATCAACACTGACTCCTACTGAAAGTTAACCCTGCTGTAGTTAAATTATTCTTGGGCAACAAGCACTGTTTATGTCATTTTCTTAAACACAAAATAGAAAGAAAATGTTATTAGTATATAACAAGTAAACAGTGATTTTAGACCAACCTAGTAGTTGATTTGTTTGCTTAGTTAGCTTTCAACAACAACAACAACAAAATATACTAACACAGATTTTGTTTTTAAAAGAAAGTAAGTATAATTTAATTTATATAGTTTTATTTTATTTTACCTAAAACCGTCTGCTAATGTTTTCCTCTTGGTTTAAAGTAGATTTAACTGTAAATATGTCTTTAGGCCATGAAAAGGGAATTTTAGTTTTTATAATGTTAAACATTTCAATATAATTGATAAACAGGTTAAAACACTGAATTTCATTTATTTATATTTTTGTCCCGGTTTTTGTTAGATTATTTTGTTTTTTAAGTCATGACATAACACACACGTTTATTTTGACCAACACATTCATTTAGAAAAATAAGTTATGGTCCACAGGTGGCTTTTATTTCAAGTTTATTATTTTCCTCTGTGACATGTGACAACCTACCAGAAATCTTCTGGTAGGTCCTGACCTTAAGGTTGATTATCAATGATTTACAGAGTGATGCGGAAAAACACTTTCTGTGATGTTTACATCAGCAAAAGAAGAAGAGGAAAAAAAGAAAACTTCTATACTTTATTTAGAAACTATGATCTGCTCATCCTCTCTGTATTGGGAGGACAGACTCGAGTGAAGCAGAGAGTATAGCAGATTCAGGATTCTCGGTCTAGGGTGTTATCCCCTCCCAGCTGCCATCCCCTCCCCAGTGTCAGCTTCAGGGACCAGGACTTTGTCCAGAGAGGGGACATTCCTGGTCGACCACTGCTGGTTGCCATAGGGAGAGGTAAATGAAACAACGGCGGTCACGTCACTGCACAAACCTCCTCCCCACGACACAACCCCCACCCCGATCCTGGCTGGACTATCTAAAGGCCTCTATAGAGAGAGACTCTCTGCTGCGGGGACAAAGCCTTTGCAGGGATAAAGGAGGGAGGAGTAAAAGAGCACAAGGCCCTGAGAGAGGGAGAAAAAGGGCCAGAGAAAGTGGAAAAAAGATGAGAGAGAGAGATTACGCCCGTCCTCAAAGCTGTCCACCTCTCACTGCACTGAGATAAAACAAACTGTGTGGGAAAAAAAATGACAAACATTTTCAAATGCCAACCTTCTCACTGCACAAAAAAGGCTTTAATTGGGAACATTAGGTGGGCATTTATATTTCCTATTACATATGCATCGGTGCAAGTAAGTCACTTTTTACATTTAGGTAATACACATGAGTCTCAAATTAAACGTATAAATCAACGCGGGCACTTCCTTTACATTCACACTTTATTGTTTCTAAGTATGCAAATGACTTGAACTGTAATTAAAAATCTTCTTTAATAAGTTGGACCAATGAATAAAATTAAAAGTTGATAAAAACTAATATTAAATAAATATTTCCACTGACTATATATATATATATATATATATATATATATATATATATATATATATATATATATATATATATATATATATATATATACAGTGTGAAAACTGTGAGGAGGCTGCAGACTGAGGGCGAACGCTTTTACAAATCATTCTGAGCAATGTTAATGTATTCAGCAAAGTTCACACAAGGACACATGTCATGTGTCTGTGAACAATACAGTGGCACCTAACAAAGGACAAGTGCTAATTACAAAATGTTCTCCATTCTCTGCTTTACATACTGTTAACTGCACTGGGTTTTGGTTCCAGGTCCTGTTTAAAGTTTCCGCCTTTACTGATGATTTTTGATGCCTAACAGTGAATTAAATGTAATTATCTTTAAGTCAATGGCATCAATCTGCATATTAAACACTTTGATATATTCACCCTTTCAGCAGACACTTAATAACTCAAATACACAAATACCATTTGGAGAAAAGCTGGTACTTGTCCACAAAAAAAAAAAAAAAAAAAAAAACCTCAATAATGTGCTTTAACTTTTTCAGCTAAAATGACTATGAAAGGTTTCTTTGATATTAATAGTTTGGAAAATAAAAATAAAAGTATTTAATTTTTGAAGTATTAAACAGCTAGTCCACAGTCCATGTTTACTGTTCTCATATTCTCTTCTTCATGATAATCCCAAACTAGGATTATATAGTTATATATATTGTTCCTGGGAAAAAGACAAGGCTTTGACTGAAGTGTCCAGGGTAGGCTCAGAGCATTAGAACTTAATGCCAATTTTTGCACTAACCTGATTCAATCTTCTTTACATGATAGAATCTAAAGTAGTGTAGTTTGTGTATATGCTGTGTAAAGTCACACTGATCCACTCAAGTACTGTATCCCTGAACCCTTGTGTCCAAGACCAATGTCTTGGCATGGCAGTTCCTAAAGCATTACTTCCCTAAACAGCTGTAGGTCACTGACTGTCAACATCATGCTCTGTTCTCAGTCTACATGACAGCAATACATTTTACCAGAACCTTTTTAACCAATATTAGTAACTGGAGCTGATGACAAGTCTTTCTGTTGAGCCACAAACCTTTCATGGTTTTGACCATTTTAACCAGGCCGTTGGCAGAAGTTCTTTATTATTTCCAGTCTCAACGACCACTGAACAATTAACATTCTTATTAAGTAGTCTCTTGTTTCACTTGTTTTGCAATTTTGTATTGCATTTAAAAAAAAATATATAATTTATTTTATTACAAATAAAATGAAGTTAGTCAGAAAAATGAGTTGCCTCTTGGTAGAGAACAAATAAGTGACTGACCTACACATTTTTTATTTTATCATCTTATCTTGTTTTTGGCCCTAAAGACATCGTCCATACAAACTAAACATGTTCACATGACTCCCACAGATGAGTAAAGAAATGAGAACATATCACAAAACTCACCCAAACTGATGTGGAGACTTTCATAATTGCTTGTCAAATTTGAAATCCAGTTTGTTGCTGATTAATACACTGATCGCAGCCCTAACTAAGAGGACCACAACCCACCCACCCCCCCAAAAAAAAAAACAATTTCAGTAAAAGAAGACTACAATGTGATTTGTAATGTTGAAGAAAGTTCTTCATCATGAGGAGAAACAGTAAACAACATTAGTCGTAAATTATTTTACTTAGTCTGTTTGTGTTAATGATAACTGGTATAGTTATAATAAACCATTGAAACCCAAAGAATCAGGCAAAACATCCATTTTCCACGTAAGACTCCTGCTCTTCCATTAAGTATCACTGATTGGGCCTTTAATGGGTCTCATTTCAGAGACTAATAATCCTTTATGGATGTGACTCCAGCTGCACTGGCAGCACACGGAGGAGCCCGGATTTTAGTCATAAGAGGAAAAGTTTCCAGGCACGGCTCAGTAATTCATCCTGGTAATACTGAACATTATTGTGGCGTAACATTGAAATCGGCCAAATCAAAAGAACATTGTGGTAATTAGGTGGTAATTCAAGGAATTACCACATCGCCACACAGGCTTAAATAGTCGTGTTGGGAGAAACGCAAAGCACATTATTTTAATGGTGTAATATGCAAACTATGGCTCGTTTCAATTACATGGCTTAACAATGCATAAATGATGCCAGCCTTGTTATTTGGACTTTGGGGTCCTCAGTTATTCTGTGGCTCAGAAGGGGCCAGAGTCAGGGGCCACATCACCATCTCTTGTCCTGTTAAAAAAACAAAAAAACCCCAAAACCCCCCCCCCCCCCAGAGCTGAGCACAGAGGGCTGCTGCCAAACTACATTTAAGGGAATAAAAATGAACAGCAGAGAAGGTAAGCGTTAAATTAACAGTGGGATAATTATATGACCCATGTGCTGTAAAGATTCAATTTCTAACGCTCTAATTAGGCGACTGTCTCCCCATACATCAGCTCACATCCCTCTGCCAATTTCTCAACAGAAAGCGTCCTGCGAGCGGAAATAATTAGATTTTATTAAGACACGGCTCATGTAATGAAGAAAATCAAAGGAGCGGATGGTTAAATACGATATGTTTTTAAAATCATTGACTGGTCCTCCCCCACACACTTGCACTCACACACTCACACACACACATAGACCACTGAGTCCCATTTAAAGACAAGGACAGTTGAATCCACCCTGGGATTTTGTCTCCGTGTGTGACCCATTTAAAGAACTGTCTGCTGTCTGCTGTAGTGGTTTCAACCATCAAGAATAGAAATGTAGTCCATATATAATCACATTTAGAGCAATGGGCCGAAACCACTGGGCATTGACAGTTATGAAGCATGTGTTCAGATCATCTGTTAATCTGTCATTTACTCTGAAAATACTTCACCTAGTGGACAAATGTGTTAATTGGTTATTCTGGGTTTGGACGTCTGACCGAGGATTTGCAGAGGTTTGCATGTTCAGACTTTTGATCTAAGGCCAGACAGAAAGCTTAAAGCTGATGGAGGCAACATTATGAGTTCTTTAACATCTCAAGGGGTGGATCATAACTGAACATTGAGTTGGAGGAGATACAGTGCTGGATTTAGCTCCTTCTGGATTTAGCCCCTTTTTTACCCCTGCCCCCCCCCCCCCCAACTACTTTTCTATTCAAAATGTTTTATTGGTTCTGATCAGTGCCACTCTAAGATTGCACCCCCTTTTTGCTACCTTTTCTCCTTTTTGCTCAACTTCAAATACACTTCGACTGACCGTTTAAACCTCTGCCTGTTTATTTACAAGGAAAACAAACACCTTTTTATTGAACTCCATCACTCAAACATGTAGTCAAAATCAAGAACATTTAGCACTTTTCCCTTATTGTACCGATTTGCTTACATTCTATTATACTTTTAAATGCAAAGATGTGAAAATTAATCAATATTTTATATTACATTTTGTGATAATGCCCATAATACCACCTGGATGTTACATGGAGAATTACATCTTTTTTTGGCCCACACTAAATGTTTAAAAGTCACATGCAAAATGAAAATGAGGTCTAACGCTCTTTATACACTTGTAAAGGATTATACTGTACTGTAGTCTCAATTACACCAGATATTTATTAATGTTTTTTACACGTTTTTTACATTCTTGCTGCGGATAGGTCAAAATGCTATGTTCTGCTTGTGGCCAAATTAAAATCTAAGATCTAATCTAATCTGATTTAATCTAAGATCATGTTCCATTGGCAGACTATCAATCGGTGTCGAATGCTTCCAAAAGCTCAGACTCAAGTAAGAGTCTACATGGAAAAGAAAGGGGAATGTTCCTATTTTATGAAGCATGAACCTGCAAATGTGGATAAAATGTTTAAACTTCCATTTCCAGTGTACAATTCTACTGTATAGGACTATGATAAAAGATGTAAACAAAGTACAACGAGACCTCAACAACTTGAGCATTTAATGCTGTAAAGACACAAAACATCCCTTTTGGACCATTACTGTTTTATTACACTCACATCTTCAGGGAACAATCACGACTAAATGGATAAGTCTCTGCTCTGTAGCTACAACCTGCAGCATCTTTGACTTTTTTTGGCTCTTATTTTCAGAAGCAAAAACAAATTCCGCCGTTGTCCTTCAGTTTATTATCAGAAATACTGAATTTTTCATGACTTTCCTGTTAAAGCAATGGTAATTTGCACATAGACTACAGACTCCACAGAAGTCTTTCACCATTTTTTCATCAGATCATTTATTACAGACGGAGAGTTGTTTTTATTTCAGAGTAGATGCTTAGATTTCAAAAGTCCTCGCTTGAGTCCTACATAAAGAGTTCCTTCCCGCATCTTTCATCTTTACCGTAATTGCTGTGAGCATCAAAGAGAGCGAGGGGGAGATTGACAGGGTGTATATAGTGAGTGTGTGACGACAGATGAGGGGGGGGGGGGGGGGGGGGGGGGTGTGGGG